CTAGCATGCATGGCAAAATCAGGGCGGGCTGGGGGCACGAGCTGCTAGGGCAAGGGGTTCTCAAATGTTCTCAATCAGTTCATGTGGACTGTGTGTTAAGCCGCGTATAGCCTTGAACAACTTCTTGCGATCAGGCAGAATCTGCTTCGCTGCCGGCATGTTTCTGAACATGGTCCTCGGACCAGTTCTTGATGTATCGGGCTATGCCTTTGCGCCAGCCTCGGTCAGTGCACCGTCCACCGGCTTGAACATCATCATCAGCACGATGCCGCTTGGCCAACCCCCGTAGCTGTAGCTGCCCTTCCCTCATCTTGCCACAGTATGTTTCGAAACTCAGTCCCGGAGCGACAACCGAACCGTACTCCTTTGCGCAAGTTCCTCAAAACAGCTTGGGTCAGGATCGCACCTCTCACACTCGGCGAACAGCTGACGCGCTGTCGTCACACCGGCATCCTGATCGTGTTCGTGAGTGCAATCTGTCCGTGGTCTTCAAAGACGCGCAAACAGAGCAATGGACACTGGAGCGAAGTCAGGATGCCTTACTTCGATGGCGCAGTCTAGCGTACTTCCTGACTTTCACCTTGTGGATAGTTTTAAATTTGCGAGCGCTTGCACACTTTCCGGACGGCTCCGCAGTGCGGGGCTTCTCCCTTGGAGCGATCTCTGGATCGCTCGCAGGCAACATGTGGTGCACCCGCGCCTTGGAGCCAAGTTAATACAGCAGAGCTCGTAGCCCGCCATGGGATAAAGGGAGAGTGATGAAGGGAAGAGAGAGAAAGCCTCCACAGCAGTTCAGGTTTGGGTGCAGTCTTTGCGAAAGAGTGTTTCACGGGCACCTGTGCCCGAACTTGGAGCAACTGGCTCCCGTGGGCAATTGCGCTGGAGCCCTATTCTTCGCCATTACAAGCGTGCCCGACATGGCAAGATGCATCCGCCAGTATGAGGCTCTCTTCATGCTCACAACCTTCCAAGGCTCGAGCATCCTGTTAAACAGTTTGTC